GTTGCTGTATCCCCAGCACCTAGAAGCCAAGCCTAGCATACAGGGAACCTTCAACCAACACTTGTTGTGGCTGAAGACAACAGTGCTTTGAAAGAAATTGACAGGGTAACAATATTTAAGCTGAAGCCTGAAGGATGGGAAGGGGCCAGCTAGGTAAGGACCCAGAGGAAAGGGCCCACACAGAGACACTGATGGGGACTCTCTATGTCAAAGCCAGAATTCAAGTTGGAACAGTCTAATTTCTGAGCCCACACACCTTACAGGGATGTGACATCTGTAAAGTGCTTAGGACCATGGCTGGCATGTAATAATTGCTCAATAAGCACCTTTGACATCCTCAACTGGGCTGTAAGTTTTTAACCAATCTTGTTTTAAAAGCATGGATTGTAGATTATATAGTTCATATGTTATAGATAATAGATTATACAGTTAATCAATGTTTCAGCACCGATCAATTTTAGGATCCAGAGAAGTCAGTTTGCTTCTGTTTAATTTCAGAGTGAGTGATTTTTTTTTTATTCTCTGATGAGCAAGCAAGATGTGTAGAGAGGATGTCACAAGATGCTCATGGAGGGGTGGTGGAAGGCCAAGCACCTGTGGGGGGCACAACAATCCAGCCCCCTCACCTACGCTGACGGCCGGGCACAGCCACTGAAAGCATTTCTCTCCAAGCCACGATGACAGTGCAAGAGTTTCCCTAGGCCCAGTCTTGACAAATGTCCACGCTCTCCGAGGCTAGCGGAAGCAGGTGGGAGGGGAGAGGAAAGCTGCCCCAAAGGCCATCACAGCAAGAACGGGCCCTGACCCTGCTCCAAGCGGCTCCGAGCAGCCTGCCCTGACCTCATGCACAGGGGACTGCTAAGAGCTGTTTGGGAGACTAGGCACCCCTCAGAGGAACTTGGAGCAACGAGGCAGAAGAGCAGATGGCGGCCGTGAGTCACCACCCTTCGCAGGACATTGAGGACAGGTGGCTTCAGGGGACCTTCGCCTTGTTAACGTTTCTCCAATAGGAGGACGATGCCTTGGCTTCCTGGTCCTGGCTCTGGAGGCCCCAAGAGGGCGCAGCAATGGGGCCCAGCGTTCTGTCATTCTTCCTTCTGGAACCCCATTGGAAAGGCAGCCGACCACCTCCCAGCCAGGCTCCACGTCACCCTGCTGACCAATAGAACTCTGCAAAGCCTGCATTAACGTCCCATTTTACAGAGAGGACAAGTCAGGTTTAGATGTTGTGCCCAGAATCACAATGTAAGTAGGGAAACCAAGGTCTGAACCTACAGATGAGTATGTCTTACCTTCAAGCCTCTTTTTCCACCACAGCATTTTGCCTTTAAGGAAGGCCTCTGTCCAGAGAGGGATTAAAAGCACAATTGCAGAGAAATCTGGAATCTGACTGCAGGGCTGATGACAGATTGGCCGTCCAGACGATACAGTCCCTCAACAAAGCCTGAGCTTGAGCTGGCCCTCCTGCATCCTCCGCCTTAGCTGCTCTCCGATAAGCAGCCCAGTGCAGAAGAGTGTGGGGACGATGACAAGCACGGGCCTCCAGGGACTGCTCTGAAACAGGAGATTTACTGAAAGGGCGCGATGAACAAAGAGCTTGAGATTTCTGCACACTGTCTCTTCCCGACTCCTGGGAGAGAAGCCTTCACTCTGGGAGTCACAACATGTGCGTGTCTTTCAGACAGCGTCCTGCTTTGAAAGCTGCACAGCACAGGTAGCTCAGGAGCTCTTGATTTATTCCAAAGGCTGCTGGGGGAACTGGCATAGAGTTGGAGGAGTGTGTGTGTGTGTGTGTGTGTGTGTGTG